ACCGATTGCAACCGCGAATAATAAAATTTTTAACCGCGAATACAGGAACTGGGTTGCAATTTTTTCACCCACGAATAAGGAAACCGTGAATAAGGAACTTTTACTGTACTTTAAAACACAGTACTGGCCAACAACGTGCTAATTTCAGTTTTTGAGACTGCAAGCTCCCTTCTCCTAGCACAAGAACTGATTGGGCATCAAAAAAACTCTTTTTTTTCTCCAAACGGACAGACAAATGAGGGGGGGGGGCAGTTTGGTCAACTAAACCGAGTATTCTGTTGGCCATTACATCCAGCTCTTAGTTATAGTAAGAACATTGTAATTGAATAACTCACCCTAACTCGGCTAGAATGGAAACTAAAGCATTGTGGTTTGCATTAAATACTTTCAAAATAGAAAATAAGTTTAATAACAATCCAAATGCACATAGCAATCCATATCCAGAAAGACAATCAAAATAGATATTTTGCAATTAATTTGTGTAAATATAATTGGCTAATTGACTTATTGCTTCACAGTCACAGCTAAATTATCCTGCAAAAGTTTACATATGATATGCAATAGCTATGGAATGATTAAGCTGCGGTAATTTGAGCTTTCAGGTGTGTCTATAAAATAAAAAAGAAACAACCAGTTAAAAGCATTTGGAAAATGTGAAATAAAACAACTACGATAGTGCCTCGTAATTTAATAGCTAAAAGTACGAAATTTATTCCGATTGTAATCTTTATTTACTCTGAAACCGTTTCCTCGGCAACGCATGCTGCATGCCGCAGGGGATTACGTTGGATTCATATTATTTATTGACAAATAAATTTTAATATTAGCACGCAATGTAAGCAATAGTCAGTTGTAATGCCTTAACAGAAGATACAGCGTTCATTTCTATCTCGTTTTATGAGTTAACTTATAATATGAGTAATCGTAAGCTAACCCTCTGGTACAATTAAAAATAAATTTTTGTGTTTCGAATTTCTTTAATGTCTCCTTTGATTTTAATAAATGACAGAATTTACTACAAACGTATTTATAAGTAGTGTATGAATAAAAATATGAACAATTATCCAAAAACTTTTTAATGAAGTAAAAAGGGTGGTATTTATTAAAATAATTTTCATTGCATCCGTTAATCATTACAAAACTAAAGGATAATGAAACTGGTATCCAATGTATTACAAAAAGCATCCTTGAGGGTGAATGGGGGAGGGTTATAGATTTCTGCATCATATAAAATTAATCATCATCGTCATAAGGTTGTCAGTCCTAAGACTAGTTGGACACGCACCTCCACTCTTTCCTATCCTGAGCTAATCTTCGCATTTCCCTTAAGCTAGAGCAAAGCTAGGTCTACCTCTNTTACGAGTAAAATAAGATAATTTATTTCGCATTAAGTTGTAGAATTTTTGAAGACGCTTTCTCTTAATACTGGCGTGTTACATAAGAAAAAGCAACTGTCCGCCTGTGCTGCTTAGGCTGGACAGTTTTAATTAAAATGTCTTAAAAACTTCAGTCAGGTTAATTATTATTATTATTTATTACTATCATAAAAGAAACCAGCCAGTACCTGTAGCAAGAAAAGATTCGAACACACCTTAACATAAACGAAAAATTGCTTGAAGCCCTCGTTTGTAAATTAAATAAGGTATTTTTTAAATTAATTATTAATTCTCGTTGCACAACTAATTTATGTGTCAATTTATTTCATATTTACTTTTATGATAATCTCGATGGTTCCGGTGTAGATTTTACTCATTTAACGTTGCCAACGTCTCCCATCATCATCATACGTATTAGAAATCAAAGTTTTCATTGTTATATCGGGTTTAATTATGTCATGTAATTTGCATAATTGCCGTTATTATTTAGGTTGCATGTCACCAGGTGTAGGAGTAACATGGAAACTGCCTATCTGATTAAAAAACAAACAATTTCATCTTGTCTTTCACTGAACCAAAAAAAAAGTCGTAGGACGCGTAATAAAAGACCCGAGTAAATGGTCAGTAAAGTGATAGGTCATTGTTTAGCTGACCTAATTTTCTTTAACAAAATGTTATCATTTAATAAAGGCTATTAATTCGAGTACCTAGTAACATTATTATAATATAAATGTAAGTTTTATTCATAGGTGCCTTAAAATCACTGACAAATTGCATACCTGGTCTATGTTTATATGAGCTAAACTAAAAATTCATCATCATCATATGGTCGTCAGCCCTAAGACTGGTTGGACACTCACCTCAACTCTTTCCTATCTTGAGCTAATCTTCGCATTTCCCTAAAAACTAGAATAACCCACATCCTGATTAGACCTTCATGCCTGAGAAGGTGTCCTACCAACCTATCTCGCCTATTTTTTATTTACTTCCCTAGAATCCTCTGTTGTCATATTATTTCTAATACCTCTTTATCCACGGTATCCTCATCATTCGCCGGTAACACCACATTCTAAAATTCAGTTTTTAGTGTTTAAAAAATATAGAGAAAAATACAACGTGTAATTATACAACATGCTGCTGAAGTGAAACTTCTTCAAACACACAAACATACCAGGATAGGGGTTAAGGAATTGGTTTAATGGTATTATTTGTACACTATGAATTTAAATTTTACACTATACATGCCGGAGTTGCCTGTAACGAACGTTACATTGAAGCGCGCTCACGGCTCAAGCGATCCCCACTACGAACTAGACTACGTGGCCGAGTAGAGGGGGGACATCCGTTTCATGATTTCGTTACATAGCAACTCGCATGAAACGAACTCACGCTACCGTGCGTAAGTAAGTTTCACTTCAAAAATAATTTCCTGAAATGTTTCTGATTTTGAAAAATATTAAAAACACACATGTTAAAAAAAAATGATTAAAACGCTACTGAGAACGAAGAAGTTAAAACCTTGAATCGGCTAAACTGTATGTCGTTGAATAATTGGTCCACATCTATCGATAATTTTAAAAAGATCTGAAGATACAAATTATCTCAAGAAGGAATTGTATTGATACTGTTTCTTAGATTACCCTATATATTATTTTCTAATGGTAGCTTGCTCGATGATTTTAGAGCCGTTAAAACGTATTTCGTTGCAAGTGCTGCATTTGGTAGGTACCTATACAAACGTATCAAGAAGAAATAAATAAAACGGGACGAAAATAGTTTAGTCTATTTTCTCCGCGATTAAATGCAAGAAGTGGTCGAAACAGGTACGTGTATTTAATCTGATTAACGTAGATTTAAGTATGTAAATTTTGGTCTAATTTCGATTCGTAAACGAATTACTTGCATGTATATGGGTGTAGCAATTCGCCGAATAACGAGCACCTGAGACAGATTCTAACACTCCGAGTTACGCATAGATTCTAGAACATGTCTACTTTTTAATTTCTAATTGAAATCGTGCTTCTTGTGTTCAAAAACACAGGTGTAAAAGTACTTGCAAGAATCGTGTTCATTGTATGCGTATTACACTACGACATGCACATATTACGATGTCTATTTTAATTCCTTTTTTTTCGTTTCTATTTGATTTGGGAATACAGACAGGATTTTCCAAAGCTGCCGACTAGTAGCTCACATCTGTCCATTTAAATTAGTATGAAAAGCCTTTGACTTTAGGGTGAATTATATAAAATTTATAGATCTAGTTAAATTACTGTTCGCAAATAGTTAAGAATGTGGGCTGTTCTAGTTTTAGGGAAATGCGAAGTGTTTAGCTCTGGATAGGAAAGAGTGGAGGTACGTGTCCAACCAGTCTTAGGACTGACGACCTTATGATGATGATGATGTCTCTAACTAGCTTTNCATCATAAGGTCGTCAGTCCTAAGACTGGTTGGACACGCACCTCCACTCTGTCCTATCCTGAGCTAATCTTCGCATTTCCCTAAAGCTAGAGCAAAGCTAGGTCTACCTCTACCCCTGCTAACTTCCGTTTCTGCCTCTAATATATCTTTGACTAGACCTTCATGCCTGTCCTACTAACCTATCTCGCCTATTTCTTATTGACTTCCATAGAGTCCTCTGTTCTCTTACTCTTTCTAATATCTCTTCATTTGTAACCTTCTCTATCCACGGTATCCTCTTCATTCACCTGTAAAACCACATTTCGATCGCTTCTACCCTTTTCTTTTCAGCCGCGCCCCCTGTCCATGTTTTGCACCCGTACAACGCCGTGCTCCAAATGTACTCCTTTAACAATCTTTTTCGATAAATTAACCGTTTGCGAGCATAGAAGTGACTTCTTTTTATTGAAGGCGACTTAATCCTGCGCTGTCCTCTGCTTTATATCTCTACTAGTCCTTCCGTCCTGACTTATCTGACTTCCTATATTCGCTTTTTCCCTACTTTTTCTTCCCTTGAAAACCGGCATTTTAATTTTACTTTTATTTATTTTCACAGTAAGGTTTTGTCAATACCGCTTCCATTTTATTTAAAGCTATCTCTAACTCCTCCTTGCTAGATGCTAATACTGCTACATCATCTGCAAATCTAAGCATACTAATCTTTTGCCCCTGTATATCTATCCCTACAGTTGTACTGTCTGTAACGATGTCAATCGCGTCTTCGATAATTATTAGAACTCTTTAATTAAATGTATTTATTTTTTTGAAGTTATTGCTACTATCTTATTTCTAAAATTTATCATAAAAAAATTGTTTTGGTTGACGATGGAATCCATTAGAAACAAATCAAGAAATATAAGAAGTCCAGCAGCATCTTTTCCCACGCCGACACAGTTTATGTGCATCATCGTTCTTCTCTTGCGAGGTAAAAGCAAATGTGTAAATGCGGCGCGTGATTTGCAATCAAATAATTTCATTAAGAAAACACGAGAAGTTTCGTTTGACTTGATTTAATACAAATGATCGGTGCGAAGGAATACATTTCAGTTCGCACGGACTCATTGTCAGTAATAAATTCAATCGGTTAAAGGTTCTTCACGAGCGTCACTTTGTTCTCTTCTTCTTTTTTTATGTACCTTAATGTACAGTACGCATATAAAGTACTTCGTGGTGTTGCTCTCGGCTTTGACGCGGACGTATGGAAATTGCGAGCACATTGGCAACGTCATTTCTCTTATCATTAGTCAAGGAAGCTTAACAGTGACAGAACACGTACATATTTATGTGCCCAGGTGGATGTATCTTATGTAACATACTTTATTATTAAACGTGCTCTCTTCACTGCAGTATATAGGTAATTTCCCATGCACCAAAAGAAAAAGGAAACTGCAAGAAAATACCCATAATTACAGTCACAGAGGGGACTAAATATTTCCATAAATAATACGTACAAAATGCGGTATGTTTTCAATTAATTTACAACCAAACATGTTCGGGTAATTGATGAACGAAACCATTAGGTTAAAATAGGTCATTTGCAGATGTTTTAATGAGAAAGTTTGAGGTTATGCGAAAAATATTGATCTGGCCAGGAGAACTATGAATATAGGAGCAAAAACTCAACACGAAGCGAATGGATAAGGCTTTGAAAAGCATTATGAATAAAAAAGATAGAAAACGCATCAGTCGCTGCGCTGTGACATTTAGTTTGAGATTGTAACACAAAAATTCCTTGTGTGCGCACTACTTTACCGCGCAACGACTTGCTAATCACAAATTGCGGACGCTTTTAATCATATATTAGACGTTCTGTGTACCCAGGTAGGTACTAAATCTAGTTTTTTAGCGTCTGATACTACGTCAATTGCACATCAGTAAAAATTACTATAGATTCCAAATGCACACCTGAATTTTTGCTGTTGACCGCAGCGCGTTAATACTCTCCGTCGGCCACACAGAATCCTCAACTCATTTAACTGATTTTATTTTTTGTTTCATTCAAGAAGCCCACCTTTAACGTCTGTATCAAGCTCTTAGTATCTTTTTCGACCGGTACTAAATATCGTTTTAAAAACATTGTGTATCAAACTCTTAGTGTCGATCGTTTTAAAAACATTGTGTCTTTGAAAATTGAATGTCGCGAATCTATCTGTGTCAGTAAGCACCATGTGCTTGAAATAATAAAACGTTTTCTATTGACATAAACCGATTTGTATGTTATCTGTTCCTTAATTAATTATTACTGACTCCTATTGCTCTAATCGTCGTCTAACGTGAGATTCGAAGAACTGCTGCTTAATGCGAATCCATCGCGATTGCTGATCCATTCCGTTTGATTGTATGTTACGTAGAGTGAGTAGAAAAAAAAGAAAGTAAACAAGTCTTTTGGAGCAACGCGTGAAAAGCTGCTCTGCACCGGTTCAAAGATCATGAGAACTTAAAGAAAAGAAGGAGAAAGCGCCTGACCAAGAGCGATTTGCATACTGAAAGACGAAGATGATGATGACGGTACCACCACTTGATCGGCATACCGACGTAATTTGTACCTTTATGTGAGAATGTATGTGTGTCGGTATGTATGTGCGGTGTATAGTAGATACCTTTTGTTCCTCCGGTGTTCGAAATGACTTCTTCGTGAAGAAAAAATCATCCATAGACGATTGTTTCTGCCGTGCTTTCTAATCGTTCCCCAATGAACGATCGACGATCGGTATTTTAAAAAGCGAAAGTAAAACTTCCACAGAGGGTTCGGCAATATTGCTGTTTGTGTTAATTGAAAATTGAGGACACAATAAATCATTTTACAACACTTAGCACCCATAATATGCAACAACTAAATTTGAATTGCCGTTATTATATAGTACGACGTCGTACTCCCAATGCAGAAATTATCTTTCTAATTACACGAGCATGTTTTGATTTTTTATTGTGTTCGGTTTGGTATTGTTGTTCTAACATCGATTGGTAAATGTTTAAGGAAGAAGTAAACTAATACTAAGTGTGTACCTACGTATTATGTAGGCTAGACGCCGATTTTGTAATGCTAATATTACTTAATTACTAATGAAAGTATCTACATGTAAAAGTAACGAAAACATGAACAGGTAACCCTAAATATTACATACATTAGCAACAACACGTAAATAAGTTTCAGTTTTTTAAGAATATCCTAAGTGTTTCAAAATTGTGCTTGTACAGGATGTTTTAGGATAAGGATCACGTGGAAGCAGGAAAATAAACAATATACAGGTTTAACTGCCGCCGTTGTTCTGTACATACTGTGCAAAAATACCGTCTCCCATTTTTATAGTCCGGCGCTCAGTCATCTATCAGCAGAAGTTTCCGCGGATACTAAAATTCTGCTGCTTGAATCAAATCAATTGAAAAATTATGTATTTTGTAATGACTTCGATATCGATTACGTCATACGCCGCTGTCGATTGTCGAATTTCTGGCGAATTCAAATCGATACTAAAGCTATTATAATAAACCAAATCGTCTGTCTCGCAATTTACATCACCTCTGTGGTAAATGTAACTAGCCTCGATATCGCCAGATGGTATTATGGTGTCATTACGACGATGTTTAAAATTTTCGTTTTCGGTATGGTAAGCAAGCTGATTTCAGAAATATGATTAAATGTTTTTTACCTTTCCTGTTTTAAGCTGTAAGTAAAGATTTTAATAGAAACACTTTTTTAACACTCGTGACTCAAACACTACATAAAATTTCCGCGGCTGGTAGTTTCGATGTATTGCTCAAAAACGTAAAGGCTCTTGTAATATAAAAATTTTAACTGAGCTTTCACTTTCGCAAAAATAGAGCTTAACCACAACTGAGTGAACAGGGCTAAAATCACCGCGTGTCGTTAAGAACTATTTGTTAGTACATATTCATAAAATGAAGAATTCTCATAGATTTACATCATCATCGTCGTCAGTCCTGGTTGGACACGCACCTCCATTCCTTCCTATCCTGATCTAATCTTCGCATTTCCCTAAAACTAGAACAACCCACATCCTTAACTATTTGCGAACAGTTAAACAATTTAGGTCTACCTCTACTCCTCTAAACTCCTGTTTCCGCCTCTAATATGTCTCTGACTAGACCTTCATGCCTGAGAAGGTGTCCTACTAACCTATCCCTATTCTTATTGACTTCCAGAGTCCTCTGTTCTCCTATTCTTTCTAACTTCTCTATCCACGACATCCTCATCATTCGTTGGTAACACAACATTTCGAACGCTTTTAACCTTTTTTTTTCCGTCACCACCACTGTCCATGTTCACACCCGTACAGCGCCGCGCTCCAAACATCTTTAACAATCTTTTTCGAATTTCTAAATTAATCGTTCGCGAGTACAGAAGTGACTTCTTTTTGTTGAAGGCGACTCGACCCTGCATTATCCTCTGCTTTTTATCCCTACTACTCCTCCGTACTGGCTTCACATAGGTTTTAACAGAATATATTTTTTTTAATTGGGTAATAGATGTTGATCCATATTAGTGAAGTCGCGACCGAGTTAGGATCAAACAAAGCGTATAATTATAATAATAATTACAGATTACACTTATATAATGCATATTCGGTTTGCAAATCTTCCAGAGTCGGAAGGAGGTGTTACTCTGGAGATAATGCATCTGTATCGGTAGGTACGTTTTATTGAGTGGAACCTGTTCGTTGTTCGTTGTTCGTTGCTGGTGTTGTTATTGTTGTTGCGCTTCACCAAGCAGATCCGTTACAAAATATTACCTCGTCGATTTGGATCTCGAAATATTCAATTGTTAATGCGTTGCTCTGGGTTGCGATTTGCTAAATTGATCCGATTATTATTAATAGCCGCGAGAATGGAGGCGGTACTTTCTTCGAAACGAGCAATTTTTGCTGAAGCAGACAATGCAACGAAAGGCGCTCTATAAGGAAGCTGGTGTAGTAACCAGGGGCGAAACGTAAAACTGTATTAATGCAAAATAATAAAAGAGAAGTAACCTGATCTAAAAGAATTTGTGATGAAAGCGGCTTTAGTCTTTACATCTAAAGAGGACGAATTAAATAAACAATTTGCAATAGCTTACGAAATGTTTTTTACCAACAATTTTAAGGTTTTGGAATTCAGAATTAAGAGTGGAATCCTTGCAGGACCACATGGTCCTATAAAAATTTCCAGCTTCGAATAGCTCAATGTAATAATACATAATCATACTGAGCTAATCCTCCCTAAAAATAGAACATTTCACATCCTTAGTTATTTGCGAACAATAATCTAATCTACCTCTACTCCTCTTAACTCCTTTTTCTGCCTCTAATATGTCTCTGACTAAACCTTCATGCTTAAGAAGGTGTCCTACCAACCTATCTTGCCAATTTCTTATTGACTTCTATAGAATCCTCAGTGAGAACATAAAAAATAAATTCTGCAAAAGATCTCACCATAAGTAAAGGAAAAATCTGAAAGTCAATAATATTTGTTGTATTTAATAGTATTTGGTTGATGAACATAATGTTTTTTTCAGGTAGTCTTTAACCAACCAGTGCAGTGGATGGTAAGTTTAAAAATTACTTAATTTGGTAATAACTATATGATACAACGACAGGGAGCTTTCCAGGGCGCGAAAGTTTATCTACCTGTATTAGGTATATTTAATTCGATTTTATAAAAAGTAAATGGTGGTGTTTAACAGCAACAAACGTTTGAGAAATGTCGCCTTTTCTTTTCTTCTCAAATACCTACAACAGCTTTACAAGCTCCATTTACATATAATTGCCTATTATAGTGTATCTACACAGGTCAAGCGGCAGGTTGAACAAACATTTGCGAATTTGCAATTACAATGCTCACTTACGCTGCAAATGCAGTACCTATTTACAAAAATATACAGGCAAATGCGAGTAAATCTCGCACCTTATAGTTCTATGCCATTATCGACCTAGTTGACATACGAGGGTGGATTGATAAGTTTCCGGCCTAACCAAGAGATGACGCCACTAGGCCTACCTTGAGGTGACATTCTATAGTACCATCCTTGGATAGCTTGTAGCTATAGTTTCAGCCCGATCTCCTTGCTAGTGTAGGTTTGACAGCACGCTGAACAAGACGCCTCTGTGGTTTTCGTAAAAATGGAAAAGCAGGAAAATCGTGCTGTCATCAAATACTTTTATTTGAAGGGGTTAACGCCGAAGGAAATTAAAAAAGAGATGGACTCAACACTGGGGACATCCTCCCCGTCATA